TTCCTTGAGAAACTGTATAGTTCTAGGTTTCACATTTAAGTCTTTGATCCATCTGGAGTTTGTTTTTGTGTGTGGTGTGAGGTACAGATCTTGTTTTTTAGTCATTACTCTTAATGCTAGTTTTCCCATCAACCTAGACATAAACTCACTACTTCCCTGGAATTGATTCCCTTACTCCCTCCTCTCTCCTGTCCTAGATGACCACTAATAACCATCGACCTGTGTATATTTACTGGTGCTTGTCATCTCGTTTAAGTGAGATCATACAGTGTTTGTCCTTTTGTGATACTGACTTATTTCACTGAGCATAAAGTCTTTGAGGTTCATCCATATGTGGCATGTGTCAGGATTTCATTTCTCTTTATGGCTGAGTAGTGTTCTGTTGTATGTATATACCACATTTTGTTTATCCATTGATCTGTTGATGAGCACTTAGATTGTTTCCATCTTTTTGCTAAAAAGAGTCTGTTCTTACACTCTTTTTTTGGGGGGGGGCATGGATTTCATTTGTTGAAGAGACTGCGTAGTAGAATAATGTATTTCTGCATTTTTCTGATGGCTTCTTTGTTTAGCTTATTTCTCTAACCTCTATATTTTTGGTAAGTGAAAATGTAGATCTAAAGACTTGATTAAATTAGCAATTCTGTCTAAGTCAATAGATTTTCAGTAATTAGATTTAAAATTCTAAGAAGCCATTTTTCAGACTTTTGTTGAAGAATAACATATCCAAAAAAAGTATATAAGCTTGATTTTCAACTAAACACATTGTGAAAATAGCACCCAAATCAAGCAAAACATTATCAACACCTTAGATGTTTCCTTTTTGCTCTTCGAGTAATGATCCCTCCTCCTCAGAGATAGCAGCTATCACTAGCTTAATATATTTTGAAGCTTGACAGACTAAACATATGAGTCTTTTCAGGACACTTCTCAAAAGAAAAATAAAGAGTTTTCTGTAAAGCGACAGAAATTAGAATGATGCTAGCAGAGACCAGTAGAACAAAATAGTGTGTCTAAAAAGAAACTAGATGTATTTTGGGAGTTTATTGTTGGATGAGGGTAGCATTTCAGATCAGTGGAGAGAAGATGGGATTAGGAGAACTAGCCATTTGGGAAGAAAGCTGACTTTGTTCCTTACTGCTATATCAGATAAGGTACAGATGTATCAAAATGTTAAAATGCACATGAAATTGGACTTAAAACCATACTTGTAAGAATATATCTCTTGGAGATAATTATGGTAAGTTTAAAAGAAGATGTTTATGGCTTAACTCTCAGCCTAACAATAGTCCTATGAGCTGAGCACTTATAGTTGGGAGATGCAGTCTTTAGAACAATCAACCATGAGAGATTAGAAGGGCAGTATTTGCATAGGGAGAAAGTTAGGGAGGCAGGAATGCATAGGCAAGGACACACGGAAAGGGTAATCACAGGGAGGAAGTAGGAGGTGAGATGTTACACTGTGGTGACGGTAACCAAATGTGTGTGAACTGTTGAATGTAAAATGAATCTGCTTTGTAAAATCTCACCCAAATCAAAATAAAAAGTTTTTTTTTTTTTTTTTAAAGTTTAGACTAAAATCTGAATAGTTCATAATAATTCACTGTGGTCAACTGATTAATATGTTAAGTAGGTAAAAATTGTTCCTGTATTCACACTATCAGCATTTTTATGCCTCAGTTAGAAGTAACAAAAAAAAAAAAACAAAACCCAAAAAACCTTCATTTACTTTCAGAACAAGGGAATCTTGTTCTATACTTAGAGATTTATGGAGTCTTAATAAGTTGATAAGATTTGTCTTATATTTACTGCTTTTTTTTTTTTGTTTAGATGAGTTATGTGTTGAAGCACTTTGTCGGATGGAGCAAGCCAATTGTTCCTTTCAGGTTTTTGACAAACACCCAGGGATCTATTTGTTTTTGGTACATCCCAATGAAATGGTGAGTATGAGCATCAGGCAGTGGTAAGTTATATGAATGTTAGGCAATAGAAAGGACTTCTTTTGTACATAGAGAGAGCTATAATAGAGGCTTTTGATGTGTATTTTGTTAAAGATACTTGCTAAGCTTTTTTTTTAATTGTAAAATTGTCATTGGTAAGTAGAGTGTGTTGTGGGTCAAAGAAGAAGAGATCCAAGAGGATAGGAAATAATTAACAGTCGATGCTAAAGCTTAAACAAAGAAGTATCTGAACTTCTTTCAATGTATGATTGAGCTTATGAAGGAGGACGCTTCTCTCTTGCTTCCCTTACCTCCTTGCCCCACTCTAAACACATGGAAGTATGAGGTTTTAAAAAAACAATACATATACATATATACGTATATATGTATATGTACACGTATATGTAATATATGTGTGTGTGTGTATATATATTTTTAAACCTGGTACTTCCATGTGTTTAGGGCAAGCAAGTAAGGGAAGCAAGAGAGAAGCGTCCTTCTTCATAAGCTCAGTAATATGTTGAAATAAGTTCAGATATTCCCTTGTTTAAGCTTTAGCATCAACTGTTAGGAATTATTTCCCATCCTCTTGGATCTCCTCATAAGCCAACCCAAACTCACTGTCATTGAGTCGATTCCAACCCATAGAGACCCCCATTGGGTTTCTGAGCTGGTAAATATTTATGGACGTAGATTGCCCCACCTTCCTTCTGCGGAACTGCTGGTGGGTTTGAACTGCCAGCCTCTGGTTAACAGGCAAGTACCTTAGCCACTATGCCACCAGAGCTCCTTATGTATGCATACGTATGTTCTGCTGTGTATATTTCCAACAATAACAAAAAAATTTTATAATACATAAGTCATTTTTGTTATTGTTGGAAATACACACAGTAGAACATATGCCAATTCAGTAATTTTTACATGTACTAAAGTTCAGTGACATTGATTACATTTTTCACTGGGTAAAATATTTTTGAAAATTATTTGAGTAGCAAGATTAAGACAAACAGACAAAACAGGGGAACTCTCTAGTTGTTAGAAATGAAAATGGGCATAAAATGAGAACAATGGAACCATTCTGATCAGGGTCACAATAGGTGGTACCACATGGAATGGGAGAAAAATGTAGGACAAAACACACATTCTTAAAAAAGACCAGACTTAACTGGACCACTTGAGCCACTATTACATTGAGACACTCCTTAAACATTGAATATATCCCAAGATCACCTTTTAGCAAAACAGTAAAATAAAGAATATTGTCTGAAAGTTCAATGTTCTACTGAAAAACCATCTGTCTGAGACCATAAGGACAACAAAGAAAAGAAGATAAGGGTGCAGAGAAACTGGAGTACCGGAAGAGAAACAACCAGAACACAAAATGTTGACATGTTGTGAAAAATGTAACTAATGTCACCAAACATTTTATGTGGAAATAGTCAAATGAGAACCTAATTTGCAGTGTAAACTTAATCAAATGTGATAAAATATTATTTAGAAGAAAGAAAAATCAGAACAATGGACAGGAACAGAAGCAGAGAGCCACACCAAAGTATAGAGCTTATGATACAGAGTTTATTGCTGATTTTCAATGTCTTATCACCATGTCATGAGGGTAGTCTATGCTGCAGGTCCCATGAACATTGGCATCTAGAACTGAGTTACAACATTAAGCCCATCAATAGTCATGAAGAGCTGCTCTGCCAATCTAAGGCAAGGCAAAAAGAAAAGACGGCCAGGAAAGCTCTGGCAGTGGGGATTCTACTTCAAGATGATGGTATAATCTTAATCTTCTCTGTGCCAAACACATATGATGAAGAATCTAAAAAGAGGGAATTAAAAGTATGTAGTCATCCCCAGAAGTAGAAAGTGATAAATGGTGATAAATCTGTAGGCCTGAATAGGTGGTTGGCAATTCAATTTGTGAAGGAGAACAAGTGTACTTGAGGCAAGGCAGAGAACTGGAGTTAAGCTTAATGGTGTCTTTGCCTGTTTTTGGTATCAGGGTTATGCATGCTTCATAAAATGTATTTGGGAGGATTTCATCTTTCTCTATGTTCTGGAATAGTTTGAGTAGGATTGGTGCCAGCTCTTCTCTGAATGTTTGGTAGAATTCTTCAGTGAAGCCATCTGGACCAGGACTTTTTTGCTTGGTAATTTTTTTATGACCTGTTTAATTCTTAAGGGTCTGTTCAAATTTTCTACCTCAGTCTATGTTAGTTTAGGTAAGTAGTGTGTTTCTAGAAATCTATTTCTTCTAGGTTTTCAAATTTGTTGGAGTACAGTTCTTCATAGTATCCTGATATCCTTTTTATTTCAGTTGGTTCTGTTGTGAAGTTGCCCATTTCATTTCTTACTCATGTTGTTTGCGTTTTCTTCTTTTCCTTGTTAAGTTTGCTGGTGGTTTGTCAATTTTATTAATTTTTTCAGAGAACCAACTTCTAGTCTTGTTGATTTTTTTTTTCTATTGTCTTTTTTTTTTTCTATTTTATATATATATATATTTTTTTTTTTAAATTGTGATTTGGGTGGAAATTTACGGAGCAAATTCATTTTCCATACAGCAGTTCACATACACTTTATCTCATGACATTGACTATAATTTACCACAATGCAACAGCTCCCTTCCACTTCCTCCTGATAGTTACCTCTTCCCTGTATCCATCCCTCCATGCACTACTGCCTCTGAGCTGTCTCCCTTTGCATAAACAGCCCTTCTTTCTTCCATGATTGTTCTCTCCAAGGAGTGTATCTACCTCAGGTAAATGTTCAACTCATATGTCTGTCTTTTGTTTGGCTGGAAGCCACAGGTCTGGGTTCAATTCCCGACCTGAAGGGCAGCTAAGGGCCATAGTTTCAGTGGTTCCACCAGGCTCTATCAGACCAGCAAACCTGGTCCCCTCTTTGTATTTTTTCTCCAAATGATATTTGAGTTTTGTTTCACATTGTTCTCCCTTTCTATCCAGGATCTTCTACATAGAGCCCCTTCCAAGTGGTTGACAGTGGTAGCCAGGCACTGTCTAGTTCATTTGGTCTCATAGTTATATAGGCTGCAGATCGGGTAGTGTACCAGTTGCTGGGACTAATTGTTTTCCATGAATTTTTGGTTTTCTTCATTCTTCTTTGCTCTGGACAAGGAGAGACCCATCGTTGCATCTAAATGGAAGCTTGCAAGTTTTTTAAGATCCCAGTCGCTACTCGCCAAAGTAGGAGGTGAAACAGTGTTTTGTGTAGTATGTTATGCCAATTGAGCTTGATGTCCCAAGCCCACAGGTTCAACGACTTGGTCCCTCTGGGTAGCTGGTTGTGACCAAGCAGTGACCACAACTTTGTCCCTTGTCAGCTCTACTATACACCTGGCAATTCAGATCATACACACAAACTTATAGGACCATTGTCTGCCAACCCTATACATGTTCTTGGGTACACTCCCCACTTCATAGACATACCTAATAGTTCAGCCTGTCCACCCATCTATCCACTCCATTGTCTTTCTGTTTTCTGTTTTCGTTTATTTCTGCTTAAATCTTTATTATTTCTTTTCTTCTGGTGACTGTAGACCTTTTTTGCTGCTCTTTTTCTAATTCTTGGAGATGTTAGGTTGAAGTGTTGATTTTGATTCTTCTTTTTTGATGTATGCGTCTATTGCTATAAATTGTCTCTGATGACTGCTTTTTTTGTGTTCCAAAGATTTTGGTATGTTGTGTTTTCATTCTTGTTTGATTTGAGGAAATTTTTTATTTTCTTTTTTTGTTTTTCCTATTACCTGGTAGTTTTTAAGGAGGGTGTTATTCAGTTTCCATGAGTTTGCTCTTTTTCCATTGATTTTCCTAGTGTTACTTTTCTAATTTTATAGCACTGTGAACTGAGAAGATGCTTTGCAGTGTTTGAGTGTTTTTAAATTTATTGAGGGCTTGCTTTGTGGCCTAACATATGGTCTATCCTGGGGAATGTTCCATGTGCACTAGAAAAGAATATATATTGTGGTGGTATTGGGTAAAGTGCTCTGCAGATGTCTATAAGGTCAAGTTGGTTGATTGTATTGTTTAGTTCCTCTGCATCTTTGTTGAGTTTCTTTCCAGTTCTATTTTTCATTGAAAATGGTATGTTAAAGTCTCCTGATATTACTGTGGAGTCATCTATTTGTCTTCTTAATTATGTTAAAGTCTGATTTATGTATTTAGGGGCTCTTTCATTGGTATGTAGATTTTTTTTTTATGGTTTTGTCATCTTGTTCAGTTGATCCTTTAATCGTTATATAATGTCTTAAAATGTTTTATCAGAAATTAATATTGCCATTTCTGCTCCTTTTTGATTGTCATTTACTTGATACATCTTTCTCTGGCCTTTGAATTTTGGTCTATTTTTGTCTTTGTGTCTACGGTGAGTCTTGTAGACAGCATTATGTTTTCTTACGCAGTCTACAACTCAAGGTCTCTTGAATGGTACATATAATCCATTTACATTCAGTGTAATTATCGACAAGTAAGAATTGTTGCTGTTGTTTTGTTAGGTGGTTTTTCGTGGTGTTGCTGATTTCTTTGTTCATATACTTTACTGTGCTGAGCTCATTTTGCTTATGAACTTTGTTATCATTACCTTTGTTGATATTGTTTTAGTATTTGCTAAATATTTGTGCCTCTCTTTATTATGATGGGAAGGTTAGCCTGTGATTTATAATTTTCTTCCCAACTTTAGAACAATCTGTTCAATCTTATAATTGTCTTGACTTCCTCGCCATTTGCAAGTTCTGTACTTAACACTATTTTTTTCACACTTTTTGGTTTGTAGTTGTACTCGTTTAGCAATTGATGTCTGGTTCTCTGTTTACAGTCTTGTAAGCTTATTTTACTTTGGATACTTAGGTAACTGGCTTGGTTTCTGGATTATGTCATCATGTGTGTTAATCATTGGTTGTCTGCTCTTGCAGGATCTTTGTCCAAAGGACTCCCTTTGGTGTGTCTTGTAAGGTTGGTCTGGTTTTAACATATTCCCTTAAT